AACATCAGGATTTGGATACTCAAACTGTAATACTGCTAAATTTTCACCAGGACAACATCAATAATATCAACCAACATCAGGATTTGGATACTCAAATACTGCTAAATTTTCACCCCACCAGTTGTTTTGTCCTTATTGATACCAAAACAAATGTACATACACAACTGTTTGTTACACACTTGGCAACATTTTTTTAAAGTCACCAACCCAGCTATATTTGGATTTTTTCATTAAATGGTCAACACACACACTCATACTGGTTTATTCAAACTGATACCAATATTATTTAATACTAGTAAAGCAAAAAACTACTTACCGGAGCACATGGGTGAACAGAAGTGGAGAATGGCTTCCCTGAGAGTTCAATTTGTTGTCCATGAAGAAGGTTTGATAACTTCGTAATCTTTTCCATCAAGTGTACTGGTGATCGGTCAGATATGGTGTTGATTGGAGTAGTTACAGCACGCTGAAGGTCTAACTTTACTTTCTTTACTGACTGGTCTTTGCTTGTTGATAGCACTTCAAAGGACTTTTCAGTTTTCTCTAAAAGATTTTCTAGTTTGGTATATACCTTGAATGAAGTACTTGATATGCAGTTGGAGAGATGTTGTGGTACAGCCGCACTCTTTGCTGAACTCTCTTGCAACTTTATCTTTTCCTCTTCTTTTTTTGCCTCTTCTTTTTTCCTTTTCTCTTCTTCCTCTTTTCTTTTGGCTTCTTTCTCTGCTAGTTCCTTCTTAGCCTTTGACTCAGCTTCACTAGCAGCTTTTTTTGCTTTAGATAGTAATGCTTTCATAATATCCAAGTATTCAGGTAAGTGTTGAAGAGCACCGTCAACTGCTTTGCCTAGTGCATTAGAGTCAGAAAAAGTGTTGATAGACAAGCTCAGAACTTTTTGTGCCTCATCTGTGATAGTGGCTGTGTTTGAAGGCAGATGATCCTGATATTGACAAGTTTTAACAACGGTTACTAATTCCTTGTAAATGTCTTGGACTTGTTCACAACAGCTACGTAGAGAGGACATTTCTCTCTTGTTTCTTTCTTCTTCTTCAATTAGTTTTTGCTTCATTTCTTCGACATGCCGCACTTTTTCAGATGCTCTAATTGCTGATTTCTTGTGATTAAGTTCAAGATCTTTTTGAGATTTCAAAACTTCAAGCTCCTTGTTTTTTAATTCTAGTTGTAAGCTTTGAATTCCCTCCAGAATTTTGTTGTGCTTCTCTTCAATATTAGCCAGCAAAGCTCTCTTTTTTTCTTTCATTAGGTGCTCAGAATGCATCTCAAAGAGAGATTTTCGTTCTTCAACCCTCTGTTGGGCTTCTTGTTTCTTTTCCTTCTCGTAGCTATGAATACTAACATGAGTAGAATCGTAATATCCAGGACCATGTGCTGCACTCCTTGCAATTAACAAGTTCTTTCTCTCATCAACGCTCCTGACTTCTTTTGTTTCATACTCATAATCTTCCAGCCTTCTATCTTTACACATATTGTCATTTGTTTCTGAATCCTCCAGTGCTCGTATGACATTCAAGTATTTACAAGAAATTTTCGGAGAAGAACATTCTTGTAGTTGAGTTGATCTCCAGTTAACATCATATCGAAGCTGACCTTTAGAAGAACGACGTAAGCCTTCTAGAACATCCATTCTATCGTATAATTGAGCTCTGATTATCCTGATTTCGCCATTTCGTAATAATAATTTATAATAACGACTCTCTGTTGTAAAAAATGTAGATGAAAAGGAGATGAAGAGATCAAAGAAAATCCACCAAACATCGTCTTTCTTTTGATTGAACTGAGGCTGCAGCTCTTTAGTACAGCGGATAAATGTATAAGAAATTGTGTGATGCGTGACAGCAGGGCGTGACATGAATAAAGATTACTAAAAAATTATTAAATAGATGCAAAAGATCTTAAGAATTATACTATTCAATTTATATCTTATTTTATAAGATCTATTTCAGTGCAGCAGTGCCATTTAATCACTAATTGCAATCTTTTGAGTTTTTTTAATTCGCACTGTTTTTAGTACATTTGAAAGAAAGCATAAGATTTATGACTAATTGCATTTCAATTAAATTTTGTATTTAGTGTTAAGTGAAAATTAAACTTCGTTCTGTTTCGCTCCAAATTGCGTACTACACTCAGTTCAATTACCTTTATTGATTTTTTTTAAAAGTGTGAGTATGATACGTTTAGAGCTTGGGATGGGAGTCCATCTATACTGCTCTCGAACACACTGCTGAGATGAGGGTCCTGAAGTGGTAAGAGGGGAGCTTGGATTCGCCTTTTTTGGGCTGGGAAAATGGGATTTTATGCACTGGGAATCGGATTCACAAAACAAACAAACAAACAAAAAATCGAAAATAGGAATAGGATTGAGATGTGTGAGCAAAACATAAACTGGGACTTATCGGGATTTGGTCAAACTGAGGGGCTAGGAAATGGGATTAGCCCCCCCCCCCCCCCATCCCCCCTCCAGTTAGGTAGGCGAAAGCATCCCCTGTTTTTCACCCCAGTTTCATTGCGGCCCTTCCACAAGCCTAAATGACTGAATTTCTAGACCTTTTTCTGGTTAAACGTAAAAATACATTTGTTTATAGCATGACTTCTCAGTGAGAAACCTTAAAACAAAAAAAAAAAAAACAACATTAAAACATTAAAAAATTAAAACATTAAAACATTATCAGAGTTTTGATATTGTCGCATATTATATTTTAGCCTCTTTTCATTAAAATGAGGTGATTGGACGTAAAGATTGGGTAAACAGAAAATCTTTCCTTCTAATAACCCATAGTAACTCTATCACTAGATCGAAGCGCTAGTCTCCTTTCCTGGCTCAACTTCATTGGAATGTTTTACTAATGGTTACCAAGGCAGCGAGATTAAGATAGACAGCCAATCAAAATGCTTCCTTTTGTACATCAAGCGTCGTATTTCTTTTCGAACGTTGATTCCATCATGGCTTCTTCCTCTCTGTATTTACAAATCATCGAACGTTATTTTTAAGCACTTATTTGAGTTCCAAAAATCTAGACATTAGGTTTTGTGGTTCAATTTGAACGTCAAGAAGGACTGTCTAATGTTTTCGAAACTTCTTTAAGCTTTGGAGTACCTAATCAAGAGATAAGTCCAAGAAAGTATTTTTGACGTTTGTACGGATCAACGAGATGTTGGTCATGTTGCCTCAAAGAACTCGATTAATTTGGATCTTCGTGTTAATCCTATATGGTCCAAGACTTACAACAAGCCTACGTTTATTCCCAAAAATGGAGGGTTTAGGTGATTATGCACCGATCAATAGCAGTTCGACCTGTGGAACGCCTTCTATTACAGTATGTCGATCTAGCACTCAGATCAGTTCACTCGATGTATGCACAGAGGATACATGCAGATTCGCTTGTTGTCCTTCTTGCAGTAAAGATAAACCTTCTCCTTCAGATCTGGGTAAAAATCAATTTACTACTAAAGTAGGAATCGTGTCTGGTGAATCAAGACCCGGCTCATCCGATCCATCTTTTAGTTTTGTATCTGCGTCAAATTCGCACATGGATCCGTTAAATATTCCCGGTTTTAACTACAAAACTAAAGGATTTACACTAAGTGTCTGGGTTAAACAAAAACCCAAAAATAAGGGGTAAGTATCATATTAAAAAAAGTATTATTGGAAGCCAGATTTATTAAAGTTAGTAGAAGAATTTTGTTTAGGATATGCGCTGTCATAAATTTTTAAAGTGTCATCTATTATTTTATGAGTCATCTAATGATGTTTGGCTTCATGATCTTTATTGTCACTTTTTGTTGTTTTATCCAAAGTTAATTTAGTGAAGTTTAAAGGGTATTTTCACTAACCTTTCTCATTTCTATTCATTAATTTATAGATGTTTGTATGCATCTATTAATGTTAGGAATCATTCATTGTTATTTATGAACTGAGGAATCTGTGAGAAATTGATTGGTAAACTGTTGATATTTTTGACATGTGACCATTGCAAGTCTAATATTCTTTAATAAATCCTTCTTCCAATCTCCAATTTTTGGAGAAAACAAATCAGTGTAAATTCTATACCTATTCTCCAAGTAACCTACTCCTCTAATTCTCTCTAATTCAGAACCCTAAAAGTCATGATCAGGTCCCTCCATTTTTTCACCCATTTTTCACCCTGGATAAGGGGGGGGGGGGGGAGTTGATGATCAAAAGATAATTTGTGTATATATGCCTCCCAGGGACATACATATATGGAATTTTGAGATGGAAGGTCAATTCACTTAAGATGCAAAATACCAAGGTCTAATGAAAACAAACTGGATAGGAATGGGAGTGGAATATCTCTTACAGCCTTTTTACAAGGAGGGAGAGTTAGACCCTACCACTAAGGTAACCCTAGCATTCTGGCTATCCCAACTTCCATAGGTTTTTTTATATTTATTTTAACACATTTACGAGTGCACCTGGGTTACCCAAGTATGGGTTTTAGGGTTCCTGTGTCTGTTTGATAGGGTAACACTTCTGCTGGGGTTAATTTCTGCCCTTGTAAAGACATGGCTAACCTGACTACCTAGGTTAACTTTTTATTGGCTCTAAAATCTCTTGTATGAATAACTTAGACTTTATCATAAACCAGTAAATTAAAGTCTGTTTGTATCTAATATCATGTTACATACCATTTTGGTCAATTATAATTGCTAACCAGCACTACTGTTAGTATGGCTTTCCTGACCACTAGAATAGGGTACCCAACCTACCAATATATTTTTTCATTTTAAAGCCAAGCTCTATCTATTGACCCTAGCTGCCTGGCAGGTTATAAAACTCTAGTTTATAAAGACACTATAAAGGTGTCTTTAGTTATGCCCCACCTCAAATTTTTGACACATTTCTAAACCAGGCACTAGATAAAAATACTATTAAATAATGAATAAATTCAGTCAAAAATTTAAAGGACTGGGGTCTTAGTTTTTTTGGTAATTTCATTCACTAAAGATGTGAATTATGTTTCTTGAAAGAATATTTTTTCTTATAATAGACAATAATTCTTAATATGTTATTAGTGAACATTATGTCGTGTCATTAATCAGTTTGGTATATTGTTTCCATATTTCTCGTAGAACCCTCTTTTCTAAGAGTATATCATCAAGTCCATACAAAGTTACCTTTCAACTGGAGATTGAGAATTACAAGATATGGTTTCACTACCATTACGGAGGTGGAAACACATCTGTTGTTGAGCTCAATCCCCTGCAAAGTCAAAGCCAACATACGAATGAAGATGAGTGGCACTTTATAACAGTGACTGTCATTAACACAGACATATCCTATTTCATTGATGGTCAGTTTATTAAGACTGCATTACTTAAAGGCTACATTAATGATCCTGGTGGTCGTGTTCGTATTGGACAAAAATATGGAGGTTAGTCAGAGTATTTGAGAAAATTGTTGTTTTGTTGAATTGGTTGCTTACCTAACACAACTGCAGACAAGGAAGAATGTTTTATTGATGTTACTATACTTATGAGAAAATACCACAATGGAATGTTTCCTGGTGCTGGATATATTGAATACATTTATTTACACCTATTTTTAAAAACATTGTTGGTTGGATATCTGAAATCAGAAATCTGAGACTGATTGGAATTATTGGGGACTGAGTGTTTATTCTCGTTAAAAATGTCATATACACTTACCCAGATAGTTTGCCAGCACAGGTCATCACTCAAAGTTAGTATATCAAGATATTAACTTTTTGCGAACTACTAATTAAAACCACAAACAATTTACAGCTTACAACCCACAATTCCTTTTGGTCTCAGATTTCAGATCTCCAGCGGACAACGTTTTTTGAAATAGGTGTATACAGTCCAACATTGATCTTTGTAGGAAGTAATAATAGATGAAAACCATATTGATTAATTTAGTTTTAGTTAGTTTGTCATCATTAAGGGTCTTTGTTGTGTGTATTTGAAGGTGGAAGCCAGTATGAGGGTCTCATGCAAGATATACTCATGTATGGCATTTCACTGACAAACAGGTAATGTTTAAATTACAGGTAATATATATGAATGGAGAATGGAGTGGGTCACAAATCAAGGCATTATGATTGTGAAATTAGCATTAAAAGTAACAACCTGATCCTAAAAATGACTGCAGCAGCATTATTACTGCATTGATTGCATTCAGTGTTTGCCCTGGATTTGAGGGATTCAGAATTTAAGAAAAAATAAATTGAAAAGCATCGATTTCTATCAGCTTAAAATCCAAGACTTGTGGTGAGTTAATTGAATTCTGTTTTTCATAATATTATCAATTCTTTAAATCTTAGAGGCATATGGAAATTGTAGGCTTTTAATTTAAATTGTTAGCTAATTAATATTATAACATTAATAAATATATATTAATTTGAAAATATACCATTTAGTTATGCCCATATTATTTGCATTCCACAGAGAGGTTATTGAAGCCTATTCAGGCCATCTTCCAAAAGCATATGTTGCAAGTGAATGTCGCTGTCCTCCAGCTTATCCCAAGATCATGGAGACTTCTCGAGCAAAATGTACCAAAAATGGAGAATTTAGTTCTGTAGGCGAGAGTACCTCACGTCTTGCTGTAACAGCTCACCCAATAGAACTTGCTACTGATGGGGATACAACTACATATTGGCAGTCTGAGTTAACAAATGATGCTGTAATATCTCTTGACCTGAAGTATGGAGAGATCCAGGTATGTGCAATCCATGTCTTTATGTTGTATTATGACAAAGTGTTTGGTGTAACCAGAAGATCAAATTTCAATAATCAGAATTAGATTTTATACATGGCAATAGAAATTCTAGGTAAGTTTAGATTGCTAAGCTAGGCTAGTTTAAATTGTGTCCAGCTGTAAAATGAGAGGATAGTTAGATTATTCTAAGGATTGATTTTATGATATCTTTTTGTAACAGATCTTTTACATCATTCTTGAGTTTTATGGGCCTCAGCCAGGTGCTATAAAGATAGAGAGGTCACGCAATGGGTATGCTTTTCAGCCTTGGCAGTACTTTGCAGAGAACTGTGTCAAATCATTCAACATGCCAAACAATGGTCCTCTAGCAGAGCCAGACTCTGTAAACTGTATTCAATATGAACTGTAAGTGTAATAAGTATCAACTTTACCCTATATAAGGCTTTTTTAACTAATCATGCACACAAGGTCGCTAAAAATCTTGCCACAACTTAATTCCCAGGATTTATTCTCTTTAACCTTCAACAGTTAGATATTCGGACAAAAAATCCTGTACTGAAAAAAAACAACAAAAAAACAACAAAAAACAAACAAACAAACAAAACCCCCCCCCCCAAAAAAAAAAAAAAAAAAAAAAAACCCCCCCCCCCCCAAAAAAAACAAACAAAAAAAAAACAACAACACAGAAACATTAATAGTTAATTATAGGGGCAGATACAGTAATTTGTTAGGGGGTGTCCCAAATAAAAAAATGTATATAGAAATATTATACTGTGCTTCAAAAAAGTGTAAGCGTAATTATGGTTTATATATACAATGATCATATACATATTACAGAATACATACACTCAATTGAAGAATCGTTGTCGGGTTCAGAAACATAGAACATAGAAGCTGAGACCAAAATGGCACATGGGAAGTACGTTAATTAGATGCATGCTGTGACCGGCGACCTGTGGCATCATCCACTGTTTTTAATACGTGTTTGGCATTCTAAACCGACTGCATGGATGGTGCAAATGAATGAATAATAATATACTTATGTCATTTCCCATGTGCCATTTCGGTCTCAGCTTTTATGTTCTATGTTTCTGAACCCGACAACGATTCTTTGATTGAGTGTATACCACTAACATAATATCCACAAGGCACTTTCATCATCACATTACCAACATTCAACAATTTTACCACGAATATTACCACCAACCCCACCCCAACCACCACTGCCATTATTATCACCACCAAAAATGTTACCATATCATGATCCAGATTTAACACCATCACAACTATTACCACCATCACCAACCATGACGAAAGTGTGTTTTTTTGCTGTTCAACATTTGGCGTTTTTTCCATACACCATTAAAATGTTAGAAACTGTTTAAAAAAATAGCGTTTGCTGCCAGCGAAGAAACCTTAATTAAGCAAGTGATAGTAACTTATAAGCTCCTTAATGCAATGCTTTGTTCATTATCCGTACTGTAGGCCTCTAAAATCATCAGGTGCTTCAGTGTCCTTCAAGACCGAACAACCACCAACACCAGGCTYGTCTGTACCAATACGGCCATTTGGATCCCCGTGTACCAAACTGTACTGCTCCAAAAAACTTTTGGAATTCTTGAAAGCCTCAAGCGTGAAATTTTCTTTCTACAACCATACGTTGGTGAAAAATGGAAAGCATCGATATTTTGCTTTAAACAGGATTGTTGTTGCTGGAAGGTAAAAAAAAATTGTTTAACTATTACTGATTTAAGACCATCTTAGTTACTCTGTTGTTTCGCCTACCTTTGCACCTCCGGCAAAGGCTACCCGCCGCTCTGTTTAACTTTTGTAGCTCATCTTTGCTTCAATGTGGCATATTATGGCCTGACATATCGTTACATGTATGTGAGCATTTCCATTTTCCTCCATTTTGTACTCCATTAGAAATACAGAATTGGAATCCACTCCTAGTTCTAATTCCGTCTGTGAGTTAATTTTAAAACGTAAACTTTCACAGAAGTCCACCGCCATTAGTATACATGTCTCTACTGGGGTACGAATTTGTTGCTCAGTCGCCCATGAAAAACTGAGAAAGGTCGACTTTGGGCAAGTCTATGAGCTAGCCGTGCCCTGACTTAGATCAATCATAGTTAGGTCAGCCCAGGGGATGTTTCAGAGTTTGATTTAGTCTAGCCAACGCTGAATAACTTCACTTCGGGCAAGTTATAGGAAATTCAAAAATCTCTAACGTACTCGGATTATTGAACAAAATAAGCGATAATGTCCGTAATTACTAAATAGTCTTTCATCTATGTTTTTCTTACAGGTGTGAGTGTTTTGGTCACGCAAAGGAAGCTACTTACAATGCAACACACAAAAAGTGTGTTTGCCAGTGTGAGCCATCTACTTTCACCGAAGGCGAAAAAGTAAGTTTTCTTATGTTCTCATCTAAATCAAATGGATGTAGTCACTGTACCGTACATTTATCAGTTAACTGATAGTTTTAGTATCAATGCTTTATGGATACTTGTCTCAATAGTCGATACCAAAAACTTTACTAAAAGTACAATGTTATAAAGAAAGCTGAGAAGCATTGGTGGCGTGCACAGGTAATGCGCCGCCTCACACCATGGAACTCGAGTTCGAATCGGCTCGCTGTCTTGTGAGAAGAGTACAGTTGCTTGTCGTTGTCTCCAGTGCTTCTCCGCGGGTTCCCTGCTTCTCCCCTTAAATCAAAAGTCAACTAAATTCAAATTGGCGTCTCAAAATTTGGCCTTTCACCTAGTTTGAGCCTAGCTCTGTTGTGTTTGTCGCATGCTGTGATATATATCTTCATTATCTGGTGTAAGAGAATGGATAAAGAAAAAAATAAAGATTTTTCATCAATCTTCTATTTTCGGTTTGGAACTTACTGCAATAGAAAAGATGCCAAATTCTTCTGCTCACCACCAATTCTTTGAATTATTTTGAACATTTTGAATTTTCCTTTTTCAAGCGTATGGTAGCAACTCGCTGTGACTGACTCTCGTAAGTGACTAGAATGGGCAAAGGGGCAGGGTAGTACCACTCAGTCACTCTTTAGTTAAGACTGAGTGAGACTTTAAAATAGTAACTTTGGTTTGTTGATTTTTAGTGTGATCGATGCCAGCCACTGTACAACAACAAGGCATTTAGAAGAGGCAGTAATTCAGACAGTTTTCCATGCATTAAATGCCAGTGCAATGACCATTCATCACGATGCCACTATAACGAATCCCTAGACCCCAACCCGGACTCAAGAACTGACGGAGGCGGGGGAGTGTGTGATGATTGTCAACACAACACCACTGGACGCTACTGTCACATTTGTAGAGAAAACTTTTACAGAGAGAGTGGAAAAAGTTTGAGTGCTCGTGATGTGTGCTCACCATGTGGATGTACTGGGCCTGGTGTCTTGCCAAACAGACTTGATTGCGTTAAGGTATACATTCCTTCACACTCTTACTTTGATGCGTCCAGATTATCACCACTGCCACTGCCACTGCCACTACCACTACCACTACCACTACCACTACCACTACCACTACCACTGCCACTACT